GGATCATCACTAATGCATAGGATGAACATGCACTCGAAAGAGGTTGTTCATGACCTTGGGGTTTCACCAAACCAAGGCTTAATCACAATCTATTCGAATGATTCAACTTGATTGATTGCTGAATTCTGAGATTAACATTAACTGCTTACTCTTCTAACCTGAATTGAAGGCAATTGGGCCAATAATTTAGATAGATTTTAGTTTAGAATTTTTATCTTTTGAATAAAGTTTTGCTTTATTGTTGATCAGATATGAAGTGCCTAGTTTAGTATTGGTAATTGTTTCCTAAATCCTCGTGGGAATGATACTTCACTCACTACTTTATTACTTGAACGGCTAGCGCACTTGCTAGTGTTATAATGAGCCACACATCACATGTCATATTTCTCAAATTAATGAGGAATTTTACAAAATATAGAGAACTAATACGTCTAAGGTCCACTAGATTTGTAACTCATTATATTGCTCTACAAAATTTTGTTTCTCAAAAAGCAACATTGAGAGCCTCAACTTGATGAGGAGGTTACAAAAAGAAGATAAAGAACTAATACGTCCAAGGCCCACTATATTTGTAACCCATTACATTGCTAAAAAAGTCTTGTTTTTGAAAAAGTAGCATTGAGAGTTATGATTGATTCAAATGACTGGAAATCGTTACAATAAGGTAAAACATCAGTAGGGGCAAAAAGTTGAAAAAATAATCAGTAACATTAATTTTTGAAGGATAACTTCTTTATATTGTAATATAATTAAGTTCATCGTTAAATTCCTTCGGATAGTTGATGATAAAAAATGAGTAACAATGGAAATTATATATGGAGCAATGCGAAGAGTAGTTTTAATAGTCAAAGAAATTGACCTAAATTCCCACAAGCACATCATTAATAATATTATTTTCTTTGAATTTTAGCATATTATTTAAATCCAGCATTTCAATGCTCCATGGATCTTAATGTTAATGAATATTTGTTAAGATCTTTAAAAAATGTGATTATAAAGCTAAAGACATATGAAGATAATGTTGTCATTGCCATACAAAAGTAAGTGTAAATTTTCATATAATTGCCGGTTATTATTTATTTATTTATTACTTATTAGTTTTTATCATTTTATAAATTATATAATACGTTTTGATGATTTGATCATATGATATTAATACTTGTTATTTCAAATAACAATAAGGTTAAATTATTCCGTAAGACACTATGAGGATTTAGAGATAGTATAGCACAAAGGGCAAGAGATAAAACTAATCCAGATATAATGAAGTTCTAAACTTCTAATATATTTTAGAATAATAGTCTTTTAGTAAGTAAATTTTATTTTAATACTATGTGGTACTGAAATATTTTTTTTAGCTGAATGGTGATTGATGTATGGTCAAGATGCCTCACATCTTCGCAAGATTGCAATCAAAATATTATCATAAATTACTTTATCTAGTGGTTGTGAACATAATTGGAATACCTTTGGCCTCATTCATATGAAACAAAGAAATCGTCTATCCTACAAGACTCTAGAAAAGTAGGTATATGTCTATTATAATATAAGGTTAAGGGTTAGACATCTTACTACAAATAAAAGGAAAATAGAATGTTATTTTGACCCAATTAATCTTAATGACATATATGACGAAAATGATCCAATTTTGTCTTAGTTGGCAAAGAAGGAAAATACATCAAGGGTATTAGATGAATCAGGTGATCCACCAAGACCTAATGCCTTTATTGATAGTCAAATGGAGGTAAATATTGATCAATGAGTCAGAGAACAAGAGAAACAAGAAAAAAATACAGCTGATGATGATGGTGATGGTGGTGGTTTTTATAATGAAGATGGTAATACTAGGAACAATTAAGGTGTTGATTCTAGATGTAGTTATAACAAAGAAAGTGGCCATAGTCAAGGTAATCAAGGTGATGAACTTTTTAGATATATACTACTAATGAATGAGTTAATGCCTTTTAATGAAGAATAATACCGTCATAAGCATAGGGATACATAATTAAGAATAAAATGATGGTAAACTTAAGAATAAAATGATGCAAAGCATAGGTATCATGAATTTAAGATTATCTCTAGATTATGGATATGGCATGGGCCACATTGCTACTTTTCCTAGATCTAATTTATCTATTATGGGTTCTTTGCTTTTTAGTGATAGAAGATATGATAATAGACATACTGATGATTCATCTTCATACAATACACAAAGTATACAACAATATGATTCAAATGATTATGGATCAAATTATCAACCTCCAATTCATTATCATCAATTCACTAAGGAGCAATATGACTAATTCAAGCAAACATACATGAATTTTTATTCCATAATAATGACTTAAAATCAATATTGTTGTTACGCTAGAGATCAACATAATGCTGATATCAATAACTTTGAACATATGCGTAATGTTAATATCAATGACTTAGGATCAATATTTACTACCAAGTAATAATAATTTTTATAATTTTTTATGATTTTTGTGTGTTTATTAATTATTTAATTTCAATAATGTTTTATTTAGATTATCAATAAATATTATCACTTTGTCATCATTCACTAATTCAATGAAGTCATGAAGATAATGAAAGTAACCAAGGTATGTTCTAACTTCTAACTTTATTATATTGAGATTCATATGTTGAATTTGTAAATTGTAATAAATTTAAAATTTGAAGTTAGAACTTGGAACTGAATTAAGTACTTTATTAGATAGTATTTTCTTTTCCTGTATGTTGATTATAATGTGTTTTTTCATAAAACCCACTAGAACATTAGAGTTTTATGTATAAATAGCTCATTTAAGTCTTATATTTGGTGTTATTGATGTTTATTTATGATTTATTCGAGTATTTATAGCATTTCCATGTGTATCTTAATTTTTTGTTTGTATCCATGTGTATTCCAAGATACATCTCTTAAATTTGCCTTTCTAATACACTTAGGCCATGTTTGGTTCACTGCCAGTGGCCTCATTCTTTTAATTCTTGCCGATTCTGAAAAAGGATGGACAAGAATGAATGAGATGTAAGTGTTTGGATATTCATTTCTTGCCGCATGACTCATTCTTCCCAAAATAAAATTTGGGTCTCAACAAAAATTTAACATATTTTGTGGCACAAAATTTTTTTGTGCCCCATTCTACCAATTATTTTTTTTCGTTCAAGTTTGAAACTAGAGTCCTCTTGACTGAAGTCACTGAACCCTTGACCCTCTCTCTCTCTCTCTCTGTACAAGGTAAAGCTGAGATCAATTTTGATCTATTGAAGTCCTCGACTGAAGTCACTGAACCCTCATCCCACCCTCCCTCTCTCTCTCTCTCTCTCTTTCTCTCTCTGTACAAGGTAAAGCTAAGATATCTCAATCTGTTAAAGTCCTAAAGTTAAGATCGACTCTCTCTCTCTCTCTCTGTACAAGGTAAAACTAGTTGTCTCTCTCTCCCTCTATATAAGAAAATAATTATTTTATTTATTAATTTTTTGTTTGTTTGATAATTAAGGTAGAATGCGTTGCTGGAGTTTGCGAGGATTGTAAAGGTGAAGGAGCAGGTGGTTGCTGGTACTTTGCACCATCTGACTCTGGAGGTGATTGAGGCATGTAAGAAGAAAATTTATGAAGCCAAGGTGTGGGTGAAGCCATGGTTGAACTTCAAGGAGCTGCAGGAATTCAAGCCAGTTGGAGATGCCCCCACGTTCACTTCGTCAGATCTCGGTGCCAGGCAAGGTAAATGATCTTGGAATCTTTCTTTGCCCTTGAATTTTAAAGCAACATTGAGTCCTGATTTTAAGGGGATCATTGACTATAGAATTGTATATACATATTTTACATTTAGCTTGTTAGGGATTATCGGAATTAATTCTAGGTTCGGATGCGATTGAGAATGCATGTCTTCTGCAATCATGGTTTCTCGGATTTTCAATCCATCAAATATACATGGTAGGGAATAGATTGTGTTGATTGGGAAGAAATGATATCTTTGTTATTGTGCTTGAGTGGGTCTTCTTCAGAGATTTTATAGGCTTCAAGTATCTGGTGGATCTCCGTTATTTTTGTTCTAATTGGAGGTGCTAGAATTGTTGGAGTCAATATTATCAAAACCAAATTGGATCATGAAATCACGAATAGGAGAAGTTTGAACCAAAGTGAAAAGATTTAACTTTTTAATTTGATGCAAGATCATGAAATATACATATAGAAGTGTTCTTAAACCTTATATAACTCTGTTGTTGATGGCATAATATGATTAATACTAATAATCTAACAAAATTGCTGCATAAATTTAGTTTGGTTTTAAATGCAAATAAATACTAGATGTAGGCAACTCCTTGACCAATTAGATAGATCATGTTATAAGTTTACAAGTATAAAATCCATATCATCAACTAAAAGTTTGAATTTGTTGAGAAGTAAAAGAAAATAAATAAAACTTTATAAATGGATATTGTTGAGTCAATACTCAATATGTTGGCAACCATATTATCTTCCATCTATATCTTTATTCTCTTTCTTGGTTGTTCTCTTTTTGTTTTGTTTTTTTTTCTTGTTTTTGATATTTAATGGTAATGTCTTAACATCTCCTTTGAATTTCCTTTATTTGATGAGGTGTCATTTTAATACAAAACATAAAAGATTTTATTAGTATCTAGAACCACGATTGTTCCTTGCAGGTTTCTTATGCTATTTAATTTGGGTTGATGTTTATTAATCCAAGTCTCCAACATTCAAAGATGCCTTTTTAAAAAAAAATAATTATTATTAAGAGAGTGTTATATGGTCAATCTAAAAGGGAAGCACAGACTTGGGCACAATTTAGAATTGTTCTATGGCAATTCAAGAGCCCTCATTAATTCATTTTTGCCCTACCATGTTTTTCATTCATTGGCTTGATTTTTAAGACAACAAGATAAACTGTTAAGTTTTTCTATTTCCAAGAAGGTGAGTGACAAAGCAGTCACCTTGTTTGTATCAAGTCTTTGAGCATTGAACATGCCTCATCTTTCACATGCAAAATACAATACTTTTCTTTTCCTGATATAACGGAAAGAAATTAATTGACTTATTAATGCATGTTTCAACCCCATTTGCATTGTTTGGGGGCTTTTTTACTTTTTACATGATTTCTTCCCCCTCCCCCCCTATTGAAGGGTAATTGGTATTTTTCTATTTGTACATAAAAGCTCCACCCATGGGAACTTCTATCATCTGGGATTTGGAAATACAAGATATCCAGATTGTGTTATGTGCCTAAACCTGAAAACATAATTAAGTTTCGTTCTTCTTTTACTTGTTTTGTAATTACATGTTCAGATTCTTCAAGAGGACAAGAACATGACATATTCACATTCTTTTAGAATCATGCTTGACCTAGACTAACCTCTTCCCATTAAACACTTTACCCTTCAACATCCAAAGCCTTCCCAAGCCATAGGAGCCAATATTGTACAAGTAACAAGCCATGCTAGGGGGTCGTGTTTAAGTAAATTTGGGCCAAATATTTCCTAGTAGTAATTATTGGCCAGTCATGTAAATTCAAATGGTCATGGACCAGGATGGAGAGCAATTCCAACACATGATCCTATTGTCCAAGATGAAGCAAATCATGCTGTGAAGACTATCCAGCAGAGGTCAAACTTGCTAGTCCCTTACAAACTGCTAGAGGTCCTTCATGCAAAGACAGAGGTTGGCATCTTCTGCTCTCTTTGGTTCTTTTTCCCTACTATTTCTTTAGTAGCAGTTTTACTCTTCTGTTATTAGCTATTTAGCTCTTGGCATGGGAATTGCATACATATTTTCAACTTACATAGTTCGGGAAAATAGATAAATGATCTTATTGTTTGTGATTCATGCAGGTAATTGAAGAAGTGGCAAAGATTGATTTGCTTCTCAAAGTCAAGAGGAGAAATAAGGAAGAAAATTTTAAGGTTAAAGTACATAAGAATGTTGAAGGTATCTTTCATTTGAATTTGATGGAGCAAGATCACTCATGAGCCATGACTCTAGGCACTACCCTAACATGTTAATATGTGTGGATTTATATAAACATCTACTTTAGTGCTTTGTGAAACTTTAACCAGTACTGCCTATAGATGAAAGAACTGTGTACTGCTTGAATAATGTTTACATGTTACATAGATAAGAAATATAGCCTATTATAGATGTTGTCTTGGATGCTTCTTTTCTCTTATTTTCAAATTTGAATATGTTGGGCATACATTTGGGCCTTATCTATCTATAGCGCCTTGATGAGAGAGAATTGCAACTACAGCTAACCTATATGATTATGACCCCAATTTTGTCATTCAACAGTTGTGGTTCCTCTATGGTGCTTTGGTGCATACAACATGGGGGAACAACTTGGGCTTGGGGTTTTAGGTTCGTGGGCTGGCACGACCCATATATATTGTTTATATATATTTTTTATATATTTATATGTTAGACAGTGTATGCCCTTAGCTCCAATCAGCATGACGTACATTATGACATTTATTGTAAATGAATAAAGTACATATTTGATTAATGTTATTATGGTGTGTTTCTGTGTAATACCCTTAAACTGGACACATATGAGACTCGTGTTAGTTTAGAATCTTCATAGTCGTTGGATAGATCTGGGAGACTTATCCTGCCAAGGTTAACACTGATGTACCGCCAAGTTGGTTGGGGTGGTTTGTCTCAGCTGCCAGGGTGAGACCTAAAGTACATGTAGTGTGGGTTTTCTTGAAACCCTAAACCGGACCAAAATTCTAGTATTACCCTGGACCTTGGAGATAGATAGGCAAAACTGGAATGTTACACCAGACCCCTAGACTCGATTATGATACTGCACTAGGTGTCGGATTGGGTTGTTTTTGATATGCCAATCAGTGAGATCCTTAGAGGGGGTCAAAACCTGAGTATGTTGGGACAGTCCAAGAATTTATCTGAGTGGGTGATCATAGTGACAGGATCAACCCCTTTGCCGGACAAAGTAAATGATCGGGGATGCACTCTCTCTGATGGAAACCTAAACTGCCTATAGTTGATTTCAACCGTTAAAATTTGTTTTTGCAAAATATGTATATATATATATATATATATATATATGTATGTATATTATGGTTTCAAAATATTTGCATAAAGGTTTTAATTCCTGAGATCCATGTGAGTAGAGAGTGCAACACTGCACCTTGCAGCCGAGGGAGAGGTCCTCTCTTGTTGGGCAGTGTTTGATCATTATGGGCTGAGAGGTTAAGTGTAAGACCATTGAGGGTTATACTTGATGGGATAATCTTGCATTTGCCCACATTCCTTGGGCTTTCATAAGATGGTTGGACCCAAGGACCATTTAGTGTAAATGTTGGGCCCATTAAGAGCCCATAGTGATGGACTCAGGGGTTCACTGTATTCAATAGTGAATTTGGCCAGGCCTTGTAACAGAGGCTAGGCTGAACCCATGTGGTTGATGTATAGATCAATGATAGGGTCTCACACTATACAAAGAGATCAAAGCTATTCAGCATTAAAGTAGAAGTGAACCTGAAAGCTTAATGGGCCTAAAAGCCCATTTCGAGCTGGGTTAATTAGATTAATTAAATAGGAGTGGATCTGGGATTTGGATCAGCAGATAATATAAGGGATTATCTTTATCCACTTAAAGAGTCCAGATCCAAATAAAGATTTGGATCAAAGGAACTCCTAATTTGCTTAGGAAGGTTGATCTTTATCTGTAGATAAGATAAGGGATTATCCTTATCACTTAAAGAATCCAGATCCAAATAAAAGATTTGGATTAGGAAACTCCTAATGGGAATAGGAAATTTTCTTTTTAAGGCTATAAATAAGAGAGTAGGGCGAATCTCCAAAGACACATTCGCTGAATACAGAGAGAAGACAACACAGTTAGACTACTTTTGCCTTCTGCTCTATTTCTTCCTACTCTTGTTGCTCTACCCTGTTCAATCTCTAGTTCTTAGACTGAATCAAGATTGGATCTTGATATTGTTTCCTGCCAAAAGAAACAATCTAGAAGCTGTGCTCACTATCCCATTCGATTCTTTCTAAAAAACTACTAGTTCTTGGTGAAGAACTACCTGTTGATCCTGCCTCACCCTAAGTTGTGTCATCTTCAGTGGAGGGAGGATTTAGTACTCTCTTTGGGCGTGAACACCTACGTTGTGAGAAGCATACTTGCGTGGATTCCGTATCAAATATATCCCTCCCTTAATTTGGTTTGGTTTGGTTACAAGAACAAACATTGAAAATGTAGTTTTTTAAATTGGGAATAGGATTCTCGGATGGGAATAAAGAAATTTTTGAAATTTCGCCCAACCTTCCTACAGGGTTCGGCCATCCATATGATGGATCTCCCATCCCTTCACTATATATATAATATTTATATATTTATATATAATATATTATAAAATTATAATTATATAATTATATAATAATAAAGTATATAATATATTAATAAAAATTATAAAATAAACAATTGTTTTCAATTTTATTATACTAATTTATTTAATTATTGCATATGTAAGCAATTGTATACATCAAAATTCATATAAAATTAAAATTTTAAGTTTTTTTCAATTTTTTTAAATAAATAGCTTTGGCATGGTTCATGGCCCGGCCTGGTCCAAGGCTTGGCCCACAGGCCAGCCCGGCCCGTGGCACGGCACGGGCCCGCACGGGCTTGGGCCATGGGACGTGTCGGGCCGAGCCCCCAAGTTATCCTAGGGGAGGGTGGCACGACACAACCTACACTTTACGTGGACCCGACATGGCACATTTTACACCTCTAACCCTTATATTATTATTTTGATTAATAAAAAATGAATGAGAATGAAATTTGTAACCAAACAGATTACAAATTTTACTCTCATTCTTGTCGTAAAAAAAAATCATTTTTTGGGGAAAAAAGCGTTTGGTTCGTATCAATATTTTCTCATTCTTCCCATTTTTACTCATTTTTTCCATCTTGGAATTTCATCTTGGATAAGAATGAGAAAGAATGAGAATTGAACCAAACATGGCCTTAGTGTTTCCAATACTTTGACCTTGTATGCATCCAATTAATAATAAAAAACAAAAAAATATATATATAAAAAAATAAAAAAATACATATTTATAGAAATTTTTGTATACATTATTACTATCATTATAATTATTTAGAATTGCCACGTACAAAATACGTACACATTTACTAGCATTGAAAAAATGATTAAAAATCATTTCTTTTCCACTTTTCCATGCACACTTGTACATGAAATTAAAATATCTTCTTCACTATCGCACGACTGATCGGAAGTTCTAACGGTAATTGTTGCAGGTAATGGAGTTTCTCCCCTCCTCGAACAGCAACAATCCTTTTAAGAATGAATTGTTTCAGATCGACCATGCCTATGTGTTAAATTGAGGGTAAATTACCCTTAAGTTCTTTATATATTGTCCTAAAAATAATTAAGGGTAAAGTAATTATCGAGTATTTAAGTAATTAAACATATTCCAACCTTTTCCATATACCTATAATAAAAATGACAGTTTAATGCTAAAACGTTTGTTAATGATTGACTTTTCTTTCCATGTTTTACTCCCTGAAAATTTCTTTTCCAAAGGTTATTAGCATTTACAAACTAATCAAGTCTCAACACACGTCAAGTAATAGCTTTTCTTTGAATTACACCGAAGACTTATCTTTTAATTTCTTTCTTCCCTACAAGCTTCCTAATACACTCCAGATCTAGTGCATTGATTTTCTTTTGAATCCATATTTTTTCGGACACGTGCAAAGCTTTTAACATCCACGAAACCTTATCAAGTCCTATGGCACATTTTAATTACACTGAAGTGTACCAGAGGTTTCATTTATGGATCCAACAAGCATCATGCCTATGTGAAAAAATCAGAATCCTATGGTTTTTGTTGAGGGAGTTTAACGCTCTCCATCTTTTCGTAAATGTTCAACTTTTCATTTTCTTAAACCATTCTTATGAATTTATTAATACCCTACTTTGTTATATCTTCTCTTTTAATATTTGTAAATGGAGCGGGATCTGATTTGGCAAATCCGAATTCAATCCGATTATTGGATTTGAATTAAAAAAAAAAAAGTTAATTACTTTTCAGCTTTCCGAAATCCTATTGAATTTGAAGGCTTAAAATTCGAATTCAGATCCTAACGAACTTGGGTTGGATTCATATTTGATCCAACTCCGCTTTAATTTTTTAAAATACAAAAAATAAAAAGTTAATTATTTTCAACTTTTATATATGATACATTAAAGCGAATATAACATATTAAATTTATTATATATATTATAATATATACAAATATATTTTTTATAACTTTAAACATAGCTATATAAATTTTAATTATTAATATCAATAAATATATTTTTTCATGACAAGTCTAGGTAGATTTGGCATGAGGTCTGGGCGACTTGACGGACGGATCGTTGGTTGGACCTGTTCGATCGCTCGGCTCAACCTAGGAATAACCCAAGTTGCGTTTGAGTTACGTGCGGATGTCACGCCATTTTATAAACTCCGCAGACGTCAAAACACGCGCTAAATCGATTTCGATCTCAAGGGTCGTGCAACTGGTTTCCCTAGGAGCCGTCGGATCGTGTTGATCTTGATTGTTGATCCCCGGATATACTGGCCATAAATAGGGGCCAAGGGGCTCATTTTCCTCGCCACAAGTCCGCAAATCCGCAATCTTTGAGGTCGCGTTCAAGTCTTTCAGTTTGGTGTCTTTCCGATGTCGCCTTCCTTTCTTCGGTCTTCCTTTTGGTGAGTCCCCCTTTGCTTTTTCTTTTCGATTCCGTGTCTTTTTAGTATGCCTAGCTTTAGCTTTGATAGTCTCTTAGATGGGAGCGGTGAGTCCGCTGGAGCCGAAGTGGGTACCTCGGCTCAGACCGTGGATCCTCGTCTACTGGAGCTGAAGTGGGTTGGCGCTCCAGGACCCCTCTTGTGGAGAGAACAAACTACACACCCCTAAATGCTAAAAGATGAGAGATCCTAATGGCCATTAAGGAATCCT